ATATCAAGAGATATATCATATTGACTTTGAAAATGTTTCAACACTGATAGTGCGATATATCATGATATTATCAACATATCGTGTCACGAGAGAGTTGACTTTTGAGAACGAAGCAATAACATTGATATATCAAAATATCAGAGTGATTTAGGTGTTTTTTTGATAATATCAATTACGACTGATAATATCATGATAAATCATAAATATATACAACCAAAAATGTGATATAATATTGTGATAATTTTGATATTCTGCAATACCGTAGCTTAGCGGCTTTTTAAGACCGTCATTCCTTTCTCATGAGAAGGAACAGATCCAACCAAATTAACAGACAGCATATTGCAATGCCGATACATGTGGAAACTTGTATAAATTACAAAAGACCAGCATGTTTACAAGCGAAATATGAAGAAGGCTTTATGAAAATCCGATCAATAATCCAATCAAATTTCGAAGTCTGAATTCAAATTTGATTTCAATAATGTAATGTTAAATCGACCAAGAATCGAATAATGAATTTGTCGAGCCAAGACTCGAGCCAACAGTTGAGCAGCATGGAAACATAATATGAAAGAAAAGAAACACAAAAAAAGGAAATAAAGGAGGAGCAACTGATCTCAACTGAAATAGAATTAGAACTCACGAACACAAAAACAAATAATAGTTTTCTTCGTTTCTGCCACGTGTCTATCTAAAGCTCTGAAGAGCAATTAATCAAGAAGCCAGCTTCAATCCAAACAACTGTAGGATCAATCAATAAAAGAAACAAAATGTAACTCCGTGTTCAATATCTGATCAAAACACTTCACAACAACTCTTCTATCTCTAGCCTTTTACGGTCTATGATAAACTTAAAATAATAAAAAAACATAAATATCTTACTTGTTCAAATGTCCTTTTAATTGTTTATTCAATCTGACCAAATGATTATGKTTGTCTTGGTTTCTGAGATGTGGAGGAATATACTTTGCTGCAMTGAAATCTTTYGTKATTTCTGTCCATGRGTTCTTGATTGGTTCRCTTCTCCCATCACCATTTGCAAACTCTTGTTSATCCTCGTCATTAGAATTGACATGGTTTGCATCATCTCCTGAATCATTRTCAGTACTACCACCATCATCAATATCACAGTCATAATCGTAATCAAGSCCAGTGTCATCATCCACTATTTCATCTTGCTTATCGCTGTTACTCTCACTCTCAAGTTCATCTGATTCTGAATGTTCCAAGCTTTTTTCTTTTGTTTTTATCTGATGTAAAGCAAACGAATATGGAAAATAAGGTAAAAGGCTTAAAAGCAATACTTCCCATGTCCCCTCAGTCTACAGTTTTCATCTTGTCTATGATATTGACGCTACAGTCCAGTAGACTGCGTTCAGAAGAAATATTTATAATGAGTGGTGACCAACCTCATTGTTCGCATTAACTGATTTTGTATATTTGTCAACTATGCAATCACTTTCTTGGTCACTTTCTACTGTAATTGTAAATCTGTCATGATCACAAACTTCCAATATATCTGTTTTATCACAATTAAGAAAACACTTCAAATTATTATTATAGTAAAATGCACCAATCACAGCATGTACTATCTAGCACTTGTTGTTTAAATAAACAGGGCTCTAACATGGTGATTGTACATAAATAAAATAGCACACAGCTTTAGCTTACAAATTTGATTAACACTTACTTTTCAACCAATGAAATCAGTACTAAAAAGATTGTTCCACTACTTAATTTAGAAATACAGTGGAGCTTGACAAATTTGTTTCAGTTTTCATTTCCCACAGCATGAATTTTTAATGGAATTTTTAATCACAATATTTATAATTTGTAGTGTAGAACAAAACATCCAGAAATTGAAACTGAAACCCCTGTATAAGAAATTGATTTCAAGTCAGTCAATGTTTTTTTCACGAAAAAAAGGACTGCTCATAATGGGAGTAAAAATCAGTTGATACATTTTTATGGTAACATTATTTATGACCAAAAAATCTTAAAATAACTTTAATACACCTTTTGCTGTTCATTAACCGCGAAGGGACTTTCAATCAAGCGAAACTGCATTGTCTTTAGCGCGAACGAACGTTCATTAACGCTTAGGGAGTTTCAAGAGCATGAAGGGAGAATCATTAACATATTTAGCATAGACATGGATAATCATGCATAACTGGGCGCAGATTCATTAACGTTTTCAAACCTTCATTAGCCCATTATGTGCATTCAATAAACTACAACAAACATACAATACCAAAATACGGACATTTAATTTCGTCATAGTATTTATTTCTAGGATTTAAAGAGTGTTTAATAAGTGTGATATTTTACATACAAAAATTATCTTCATCCTTGAATATGCTCTCTATTTAAGCATCTTGGTAAATAAGTTTGCATATGGTTGCGGTAGAACTATTAACCCCCAATGTAGCGGCAACCGCTAGATAATCCTCGGCCGGGTCCTCATACGCTCTTACAAGACGCTCTTTCACTTCGCTCGAAATTCGATGTCGACGCGGAGGCATTGCATTCCAACTTTAAACAAGTCGTAGTAGCTGTAACGAGTCATATTTCATGCTGAAATTTGACTGCAAAAACTATGACGAAATTAAATGTCCGTATTTTGGTATTGTATGTTTGTTGTAGTTTATTGAATGCACATAATGGGCTAATGAAGGTTTGAAAACGTTAATGAATCTGCGCCCAGTTATGCATGATTGTCCATGTCTATGCTAAATATGTTAATGATTCTCCCTTCACGCTCTTGAAACTCCCTAAGCGTTAATGAACGTTCGTTCGCGCTAAAGACAATGCAGTTTCGCTTGATTGAAAGTCCCTTCNATATTATCACTTCAATTAAGCACCATCAATCCGAAGTAAGCAAAAATTGTGAAAAATCTGTAAATTATAATATGTTGATTAAAAACCATGCAATCCAAATCTAGAATTGATCTATTACTGAGTCAAATAGTAATAATTACCAGTAATGGATATAACACATTAAGAAAAGGATACAATCTAAACCATCAGCCATAAACTGAGAGGGAAGCTTCTGCTTATTGCCCATGTTAAGTAGTTTTTCCAACCTTTTAATTTCTTTRTCTTCTTTTTTGTTTTCTTCATTGTATCTTTGTCTTTTAACATCTCTAGTGGAAGATTTAGCCTTCTRAAACAATTGAAGAGTACAAATAATTTGGCGTATCGTACTAGAATTGGGTTTATTGCTGTTGCCATGCAGCAACATGTGATGCACTTTGTACAGTCACAACTTTTCCATTGTTTAATACAGGAGAAATACCTTGGGAAGACCCAGGACAGGTTTTGAATGATTATACATGCAACTATGAATATCAGAGATGTAATATGTTACTCTTCTCTATTACAATACAGAAACTTTGCATGTAGAGAAGCCCAAGTTCAAGTTCAAGTCAAATTTATTCAAAAGTGTATCAACAAAAAATCAAAATTTCTCTCATTTTTATCAAATATCAGATACACATGTATTCAGTTACAAAAAAAAATCCGGAACCAAAATGTCGCAATTAACCAAGTTATCAACAATTATTGGGTGTCTGAGTAACCAAGGTAAAGGCAAGTGCAACAATGACAAATCTTGCTTTTCTTCACTCATTCTTCAAAGGTCTACTTGGACGAAAATTGCGAAACATTAGAAAAGACTTGGAAATCAAATAGATTTATCCATATGAGTCTAATAATCATGAAGCAACAGATTTCAAGAAGATATTGGTACAAATCCTTAATAATTTGGGCAAAAAATGTTGGAGTAGATGACGTCATTTACTCAATCCTTTTGTTCTTCCATCTTTTGAATCAAAATTTCTCTGATGTGGGATAATTCAAAAACACATATTTTCTCGCGATTGTTTTTAATATATATAAATGAGTCATATATTTGTATTTCTTGAAGTTTTGAAATAAGACCATTTTCCTGCAAGTAGCACTTTAAAAATCAGAAAAATCAGCAACAAAACTGTACTAAAAAAATAAATAAAAAACAGGAGTACTTGTGCTAAAACACCCCGCAGAATGCCGAATATTACATTTTGAATTAAGGTTCACAATCATTTTAAATTTCCATGGAAGATGTCCCAGGACTCCCCACTAGATTATACATGGATTCTGAATTTATGTGCTGATGCGGATCCGCATAATCGGCCATTCTCTGCATAATTTCGCATAATTTGTCAAAAACTCAATATATTATGTGTCATCTATCTTTGTGCCTGGCTTGAGTATTTTTTTTCCTTTTTCTATCGTCATACAAAGTAAGGTGTGACGATTGGTCTTTTAAAAAGTGTCCAGGTCTCTCAAAATTTTAGTCCAATTTCAAGGGTCTTGCAGTACTGTTTATTTTGAACAAGACGCTTGTCAGCGTGCACTCGGGGTTCTTTTTAGCGTTGTCTCTTGGTTTAATGATAGATAGAATATTGGCAACGTCTTTCATTTGAATAACTATAACAATTATATTTTTGGTGGCGCCACATTTTGTTGTGCGATTGTCATCAATGTAGCTAAAAATTTCTTTCCAAGGAAAAAAAATCGTACAAGAACATTTATTTAGAAGAACGGCTCCTTCTGAATTATACTCATGTCGGTATAGTAGTTATAGCTTTGATTATCAGTAGCTTTCTATTAGTTCATGATTGGCTTTGGATAGATTAAATGGCTTGTGTATCATAACTTAAGTCACAATAAGCTTGATAAATTCGCGGTATTTTTTCAAAAAGCCCATTCCGAAAACGGTCGACATCTTTTAGTGTGTCTATACCGCGAATTCTTTGTGGATTTGTAAGTGATTTGAGCGTATTTTTGAAGAAGAAGCAATACCATAAGTCCATCGACAAAGAAGCTGCTGCAATTAGCACTTGACGCATGGGACGAGACAAGACGAAAAAAAATAAAAATAAAAATAATAACGCCGAAACCTAAACTCGCGGTTCCACAGGAACCCCGAGTAAAAATTTTAAAGTCTCAGAGTCTAGATTTTTAGCGAAGCTGTCTCGAAGTCTCGCTTTTTTACTACGACTGAAAAGCAACCCAATTATGAACCAACAAGCTCATTGCAGATTTCCAGAGCAGTTGCAAGTGACAGCGCATCAATCAAAAATATCAAAGGAAAGTCCACGCATAAGACYGGAAATTAGGTCACAGTAGAAAAGTAGTTGTGCTGTTTATAATATTATAAATGGCTCATATGATTATTGTTTGTTTTTCATGCAAAACTAAGGTTTTATATTGAAGGCAGTACTAACCAAAGAAAAGATCTTTTTAGACTTTTTCGTTCTTGCGCGCTTTATGTCTCATATGCCATATTGAGATTTGTCACGTGATCTGGTAAGGCACAGGGCAACCAGTAATGCTAGTGCCCAGACTCTTTTCTTTTACATTTGTGAAGCCCACGAAACAATATATATTTGGAAAATTATAAGCATGTTTGAAGCGAATTTTTGAAAAAAAAAACAGTCAAGGGACCACAAAAAAACTTCAGTTGATGGCAAGTCATCTTAAAAAATGGTATAATCAGGCATGTCGGAATTATGCGCGGATGCGCACTTCGAAGATTCTTTCCMTTCCAAGTGTACATATATTTAGAAAGGTTTGCAACTCCTGCTCGGAGCGGTGTTTTCGACTTGTAAAAATGGGTACGTGAATTGTTAGCGTGGTAATCATTCTACTGACAGTTGTCAGTTGTCAGTTGTTTCTTCAATTGAAAGAAAACTTATTTTTTGTGTAGAAGCTGTCTGTTTGAAGCACAATTTTCATGTAAATTCACATCAAATAACTTATTTAAAGAGCGACCAGCGAGTTAGAATACGGTAATAACGCATATCGATTTTTTGTAGATTGACTGCAGATTAACCCCCCACCCCCTCGGAATTTCCGAGCCACTAACCAAAAAATATGTAAAATTTCCCAGATTTTACTTTCTTGTGATGACGTCATGCCGCACAATTTTCTGCATAATTTACCCTTTTCTGCACATAATATAGGGAAAAAATTCCGCATAATTTTGATTTTTTAATTCTGACATGCCTAGATATAGAGTATTTGTCGTTTCAAAATTCGACATGACCTTCCAAAACATGAATTTGCAAGGACATCTTGTCCTGCATATGTCCAGCAGTTATTTTGAGCCCTGTAGTGGTTCCCAGAAGGTAACCCAATTGAAAATGAGTAACCCATGAAAGGAACAATTATAGTACCGTGATCGTAAGACTAACCTTTTTATCACTTCTCAATTTGTTTGTATTTTTAGTTGAACTTTTGTGATTTTTGTTGTTGGAGGAATCCTGGCTTCCTAAAGTGTTTTCAATCTATGATAGATAATAGAACATAATCAGCTCTTYGAGAATACTGAACTCTAATTAGTGCAATGGAAAAGAATTCCATTTTATRATAATGTTAACTCTTTTGCAACTATTTTCTGCCTAGCAAAGTTAAGTGCATGGAAGTGAGATTTACTATTCCTGCCACCAGAGGCTGGTTTACAGATCAGCCCTACGGCCTAAAAAAGTGTGCTTTGTGCTGTAATAAACTATAATTAGAATAAATCCATCCCCTGGAACCCTGCATAGCAGCAAAACCACCTCTAATAATAACATTTTCTAAAGAACTCTGAATTTTATGTATTATTTATTATGTAAATACATAATTGTACATTTTTACTATCAAGATATTTCAAAGCTTACACTACATTGAAAGGCTTATAACAATATATTAGCTTCATTAATTTGCCTTTATTTGATCATACTAGGGAATTTTAAACACTGATTGTTTTGTGGAWTGTTGTGTTGGTGATACCCTGTGAACAAAGTGTTATTTACCTTTTACCTCAGTAAAAAATTCTTTACTGAGGTAAGGTAWATAACACTCTGTTCGCCGGGTATGATGGTGATCCTGATATTGTCGTATGTGATTTTACATGTATTTTGTTTTTCTATTTCTAAGTAAACTATTTACAAGCCTTTATCATACTTTTTCAGTAGGCCATAGGGTGGGCCATAGCCCAAKTACACAGAATCATGTGATTTTTACAACCTTTTGATTAGTAATAGAAAAATACCTGGATTCTGGAAGCTAGCCTTCCCATTTTATAAAACTCATGYCGTTTTGCCTTCTTTTYACTTCTGGTGTTCTTTCTCTGCCCTTTCCTTGATAAAGCTTTCTTCTTTCTGTGTGGATGAGATGGTAGATTGTCTACAAAACAGAAGTATGTGTATTTTTTAGTTTAGTGTGTTCTCTAATCAGATCAGTGTTGTGGATACCATAGATTCTACAGATCACAATCAGGTGGATGGTTTTGTAAAACTGAAGTGAGGGTCTCTTGCGGGCACTTCCTTTTTGTCCTCCCATTTTCTAATCACCCATCACCAGTCCCCTTATGGCCACTATGCACACTATTTTTAATGGACATAATCYGAAATGAGAAAATTTGCATTCCATTCTCCCAGTTGTGTGATAAGTAACATCACATTCTGTGTTAACACAAGACATTTGGAAACTAATGTTGTCAAGAAATTGTTTGACTAGGCTTTACTRACATACAGTCATGGCAAATATATCAATTAAGATCATGCTTTACGGTATATGTCATATACTGTAATAGACTATACACAATGATTTTCATTTTGTAATGCAAATTAGACACGCGGTCTTCCAGGGGGCAAACATTAGAAGAAATGACAAACTGTCAGAGGTGGACAAGCTCCATTTATTCCTGTGTAAAATATTATTTAAATATAACATAAGATATAAAACTGTAAATTTGTCAGTCCTAGTGCTGTTAGATTTACAATACATGGACATTTGGCAAAATAGGGTATTGTCTTTGGCCTTGGCATCTTGAATAGGTATACAATTTTGTCTTCAGTGGTCTTGTATAGGCRTGCACTTCCTATGTATGTCAAYCAAGTATCATACAGGGAGTCAATATTTGTCCAAGTCAAAATGAAAAATTGGAAAACATATTGACATCTTTTAAGGGAGCACTTCGGGGTTATATCAACTTTCATGTCTTGGATAGGGTTCTACTTTTTAGCAATCTGCCTTGAATTGGGTATGGATTTTCACGATTTTGCTATCTTGAATGGGGTCAGTTTTTAGGAACCCCTGGCCAAATCTGGCCTGACCTCTCCCCCCATTACAATATAAAAACCATCGTGAATAAGACCTATTTAAACAGAACATGTAAACAAGCAATGTTGGTCTGAATTGAYTTACACAGGTTTGATTAACATACAATCAAACATGAGAAGTTTTCTCCAATAGCACTCTGGTTACAGTATAGATAGTCCATAGAGTATTGACAGACACAGACATTTAGATCATAGTTAATAGATAATATTAAGCTTAACTATGTTTAGATTCACCCCATAGACATAAAGACCCACATGCATTTCGATGGTTGATGTATCTCCAGGGAAATTATCCTGTGTGTCATTRCTAATATATTTACCCTGATTTCGAGCTATTAGAAGAAAACACTTTTTTGGGGCAAAGTATAAATTTGGTTCCATTTTTACACTCTGCAAATATTTCTCTACAGCCAGTWATTAGGAATGCACGTGTACAAGCTTTCAAAGCAATATTAATCTCTTGCTAAGCGTTTACCTGCTCCACTAGGTCTATCAAAACCGTCTTTGCCTGTCTCTTTAGAAACACGTAGAAACTGCCCCTTGGCTCTTATCTGCAAGAAATCGTCAAAATCTGGCAACATTCTATCACTTGTTTTCCTCTTGTACGCCATTTTACTTAACTCRTACCCAGTCACTTCTCTTGTTTTAACAGGCGGTTGGCCACAGGCAGCCCAAACTTTATATATTGCCACAGCCCACAGCGGATAGCGTGCAACTGGCCTTCGAGATGGCCTGGGGAGAGGCCGTATTTTCTCCCAAAGAACCTGATACTCTYATGTACTCTGGTTGTACAAGTTGTAGGAATTCTATTAGACTGATAAAGCCATAGTTAACAGAGGGGACTTGCTCCATCTATTCCCTATGATAAAGCATATTAAAAATTCGTATAGCGCTTACACGCAAAGAGCATTCACGTGTTTAATTAATAACGTCATGTGAACACTGTGTGACAACTATAGGCTACCGAAATCCCACCTGTTTCAAACATATCATTCGGAGACTGTTTGTGTTAACAGGTCTGTCCAAAACGCGACATAATAAAACATAATAAATAGATTTATACATTTGTATAACGTATGCATTGGCTTCCAAGGCATAGGCCGCCCAAAGAAAGCCGCCCCGAGTAGGGGTTGTCATACGTATTCCATATATGGTATTAACTTACAAGCKTATAGCGGTCCCTAAGTAGTGTTTAATTAAAGGCGCTGAATCAGCGCATGTGCCTACTACGAGTGTATGCAGATTGTAAATATGGTGCTTTAAGGTCCTTTAAATCTATGGAACACAAACATTTAGCCTCACACAGCCTTTATTATTTTGGTACTGTACTGTTGATGAGCCGAGATGACAACAACAACAACAACAACAACAAAAAAAAGAAAGTGCAGAATATCGTTAGGTACTTTTATTAATAACAATACAAGGCACTTTTTATTGGATACAAAGTAATAAAGTGCGAACAATATCTCCATGAAATAAAATCTAAATAATAGTCACTATTTTGGACAATGGAAGTTCTAACTAGGCATTGTTTGTTGATCTTGTTTCTTTAATAGAATACATTCATTAGGGTTTTGTTTGTGCTTTATTTGTTCATGCGTGAAGTTTCAGAACCAGTGTTTGGTTGAGCTTTATCTGACTGTTAGGAGCAATTTCTTCTGAAAAAAAGACCTAAAACTTTTAGAATACTAATAGAACTTTTCATTACACCGAATATTGGGATATGAAAGCTTTGACAAAGAAGAACTAAGGCAAAATATACTCACAAAAGCAAACGTACCTCGCAAACTTTCACGGCAGTGAATTAACACTAGAAATTTTCACGAACTTGTTCGTAAAACCGCAGAGATGATTGAATTTTCGGCGGTCATTCGCACTAAGTTATATGTTCTGCCGATCGCTTCCGAGTGCTTCCTGTGTTTATGGGTCTTCCGAAGGGGTATTGATTGAATTTTGACGTAATTCTATTGTTACTTACTCATTTGCATTAGACACGATAACAAAGTGTCTACTACTTCGTAGTAGGCACAAAAAACGAGCAGGAGTGCTTTATCGGGAGATATAGACACGAGGCCAAAGGCCGACATAATCCGCAGTCAGTTCTTTATCGGGATATAAAGGTCCATCATGTGACCCAATAGTTGAATTCTGATTGGACTAATAGCTCATGAATTATTAATGAGTTCTAGAACAAGCGAATAGAAGCACCTAACAAGCGAATAGCGGTCCCTAAGGAAATGGATTTCCCTTTGTAATATTCAATGATTG